TTTATAAATGTTAACTTTATTTTCCTTCATTTTCATAATTTCCACTTCTTCCTCATTTGATTTTATTTTTATTGCTTTGGTTTCTTCATTGTACTCTTTTTTTAATTTGTCTTCCTCTCTGGTTTTCTTTTCTCCCTTCCTACTATTCATTCTCTCTCTAACTTTTTACTTAGTTTCATAGATAGCTTTTCAAAACTTCTCTCACGTATTTATTCTTCTTTGCATCTCTATACCTTCTCCTTTTCTTTCATTTACCTGTTTTGCACAGCTTTCTGTTTTAGGTATTTATTTATCTATTATTTATTCATTTAAATTTGGGCTAGTTTTGATTTTTTGAGGAAGACATTTAGAAAGTATATATTCACTGCCCTGTGGAAACATTTTTAAAAACTGAGGTGAAATTCACATAAAAGAAAATTGACCATTTTATAGCACACACTCCAGTGACATTTCGTGCATTCACAATACTGTTTTGGTTTTATGTATGTGAGTGTACAGTTAAGTAGGTGTGAAAGGAATCTGCACACGACTCAGGCATGAGCAAGTATACTTGCGTGTGGGGCCCAAAGCGGGACACTGTGGAAAGAAGACATTCCCGTGACCACGGAGAGAACCCCTGGCTCTCTTCCTCACCTCTGTAGTGATTCTGGCTTCGCTACATGGCTCCTCTGCATTTTCCTCTGCCTTTGATGTGGTTGCCAAATGAACCAGAGACATAATCTCTTTTTTATGTTAATGTGTCAGTAACTATTTATACAAACAGTGGGGGATATGTAAACACTATTTATAAGCACTGAGCACACACCGCTACAGAGAATAGATTCCAGGTTCCCCATGGGAAACAGCTCAGAAGGGACATGTCTTCCCAAACAGGTAAGACTAGTCCCCACAGTCCAGGATCCTTTGTAGTGCCTCACCTTCCACCTGTCGGGGATATTCTTTGAGCTAGACAAAAATATCCTTGGGTTCAAATCTTGTTTTGCAAGCTGATGTTTAGAAATAAGCACTCGATTTATCTATTTCTGATATTGTCCATAATCAGAGACCTCTTCTTTTTTTCTTAGAGGAAGAAGAAAATCTACCCTAAGCAGTTGTATTCACCGCCAGCTCAGACACAATGTAGAAGCAAGATTGCTTTTTCAAATTTATAAAAGACACCAGTTCATCAAATACTGCAAGAAGTGAGTCCTTGTTGGGGGACACATTCTGCATTCCCCTTCCTTCTTGTCATGTTGGCGATGTGGCTGAAAGGCCAGGCTTCATGTTCACAGGTGAGTGGGAGGGGCCTGCTCTGGTCCACCGTGACTTTGAAGTGAATGGGATCAAACATAGGAACCCAGTCCTCTTGATATGTCCCCTGATCTTTGTGTGTGGTGAATCCACAGCCTTTAAACGACAGCTGTCCCTGTGTTGTACCAACATGGGGTCATGCTGTGTGTAGGAGCAGCACAGCAACAGGCCCCAGGCCATCAGACAGTAAGTTTACCTGCTGATTTCTCTGCTGTCTGCTCACCCCACCTCTTTTTTCCATCGGCAAAATAGAGATACTAAGCCAAAGTTCAGTGCTATGAAGGTCATTATACTACATTACATTATATTGTATTATATTAATAGATATATGAAACATTTAATAGAATGCCTGGTACAGAATACGTGTTCAGCAAATAAAGTGTATATAGTAACTTGATGTTAAAAAAAAGTGCAGTTATGATATCAAGTTCTTCTCTTAACATTCCTCCCACCCCAGGGAATGCCTACACTTTGGCTTGGCACGAGTACCTCAGGAGCTTGTTTGTTTTCTTCCCACCATCTGCCGCCCACATAGTAGACAAGGCTGAGAAGATTTTCTAAGATTGAACCTGACCATTCAATGATTCACAGGGCAATTGAGTTGGGTAAGATATTTGAAACAATTTTACAAAGAAACATATTTTACTTTGATTTAACAGATCTTTTTTAAAAAACATGATATATATTTTATTTTAAAAATTGCTTTCACAAGTAGTGTGTCACTGGGAAATACACTTGCTTGACTATCTAACTGGGAAAAGACAATGTGGCTGTGAGTACAAAAACTTTCCTTTGGATGTGTTTTTGGAAATAGGTAGGAAACACCACTTGTTTGTTGTTGTTTGATTGATTTTTAAAAACTGATACCTCTTTAAGTATTGGTTATAGAAGTGTAAACAGTGAAAACGAATCCACCAATAAACACACCCCTCACGTCCACACCGCCTGTGTGCACATGCATACCTGCTGGCGCTGCTGCATCGCAGTTACATCTGAGCCCTTGGCCAACAGGACCGAAGAAAGGTTATTTGGGAATAAATCTCATGCACAATGTTGGACAAATCACCAGTGTCCCTGAAGGAACAGGTCACAGTAGAAACACTTCTCCAAAGCAATTTACCCCACTTTGGTATGTTTTAGGTTTTGTGATTTAGATAGTTGTTTAGTTTATTTAATGACATCCTAACACATAAAAGGAAGCACAAAATACCTATTGATTTCTTCAATACCTGTGTTGTCAGCAATGTGTATGTACATGTTTTCATGCCATCTGTGGCCATCAGGATATTAAGTGGAAAGGAGAAAATAAAGGGAAAGATAAACACATGAGGAGGAAATACAGTTCAAATATTTAGATTTAAAATGATATCCCTAGGGAAAATAGTTATAATGAATTTTCCAGAAAACTCCCTTGTCTATTAACATGGACTGATGACTCTACAATGCAAGGATTCTGAAAACTATAAACATAGGGAGCCATACCTTGGGTACAAAGCAGCTGGTTGGGAACAAAGCTGTTGCATGGGGAAGGATGGGTGGGTCTTGCCTTTAGCTGTATTTTGTAGTGTTTTCTCTTTTGCTATTGGTGAATCTCTAAAGAGCACTAGGGTGAGTGAAGTCCATTTACATAAGGCTAAGAAAGCACTGTAAACACTATCTATTAACTTTTTTTTTTTACCTGTTTATATTTTTATCAGGGATCTCACAACCAGGAAGTGTTACATGCTGTACAATGACAATATTTTCTATTCCAATGTAAAATACAGCAGAACAAAAATAAATCAATGTATAAGTAGGTGTGATACAAAAGAAAATTACAAGGAAGGGACTACAAACCATTAAGACTATACTATTGATTTTTAGCCATGAGGCCAAACAACCTGTTACTATTGAACCTTCTTGAAAAATATCATTGTTAATTATAAACTACCTCTTTGTCATGAAGATTTTGAATCCTTTATTTTATCTTTCCACACACTAAAGAATCTTGCTTACATCTTTGTTGTTGTTGTTGTTTAAGGATTTTACTTATTTATTTTTAGAGAAAGAGTGTGGGAAGGAGAAGGAGAGAAACATCAATGTGTCGTTGCCTCTCACACGTCCCCAACCAGGGACCTGGCTTGCAACCTAGGCATGTACCCTGACTGGGAATCAAACTGGCAACCCTTTGGTTCACAGACAAATGCTCAGTCCACTGAGCCATATCAGCCAGGGCAGAACCTTGCTTACATCTTTAAGCATGTTGCATGTCTTTGCCAGTCTTGTAGCTCAGTATCATGTTGCAGTTAATCTTGCTGTGGGTGACTGAAGCTGCCCATGCAAGGCCTTGGGCGTGGTGTATGACATTGTTTGGTCATTTCTGTTGTGTGACACTCAATTTCCAGAAGCCCTGTTTTTAATAAATTTCTTGACATTTTGGGTCTTATTTAAAACAATACTAAATTCTCAATATTTTATGACTGGCCATCTGAATATTGCTATCTTTATAAGAATGAACTATAATCTTGAGTCCCCCAAATCACCTGTGCCATTAGTGGTTTGATATCTAACAATCATTCTAAAGATTGAAACTGGAAGCTTTCAATAAAGGTAACTTTATTGGTAAAGGTAAGTTTATTGTAGTCTGCTGTCCATCTATAGTTACAGCATGAATAGTCTAGAAGCTGTTTGAATAATCATCTTACATGTATTGTCCCAGAATTTCTCCAGGACCTCAGACCCTTATCTGTATACTTTAGTTATGGATCACTTATTTCCTTCTGTAAGTGGACAAACATAAAGAAATTCTGTTTGGGGCTTGAAGAACTACTATGGTCTACGACCTTGAGTTCTATAGTGATGACCTGACCTTCTATCCTTCTGTCTTCACTGGAGAGGCCATAACAGTGTTACATTGTGAGGGAATGAGCTGCCCTTTCCTTAAGAGAACACTGTTATTAAGGAATTACCTGACATCAATAAACATGTCATGAAATTCCTCTCGGGAGCGTAAGAGATGAATTTTAGAAGCTATATATACGTTCTCTGTGCAATGCCTGATTCTTGAATTAGATAAGCCCTCTTGGGTTGATCTTGCCTGACTGGGCCACTTGTGTGACGTAGGTGGAGAGGGGTCTCCTGTTTGACACTCTGAAAGTAAAAAGGCAAGTTACAGAAGATAAATTCAAAATCACTTAATAAAAAGAAAACAAAACCCTGTAAGAACATTTTTAATTAAAACACTTAGGATTTCATAGATACATTCCCTTGAGGAGAGGTAAGTAGGGTTGTGTCAGAGATACTTAGAGAGGAAACCCAGGAAACAAAAAGTGGCAAAATGGTACTGAACCTTATTCAGAATGATATCTTTCACATGGACAAGCTCTTTCTAACCAGGAGGACAGGGATTTCCCCTATGTAACTACTAAATCGAGCGGGGCTGTACACTTCATTTCCTTCCCCCATTTAAGAACACGTGTTTGGGAGAAATTATGTTCCAATAAACTGAATTCCAAGAATGTAACCTCTTTTCTTCTAGATCTCCAGCTGCACAGCTGATCCCATTGTGTTCTTCATCTGCGGATATGTTCAAGTGCAGTTTGGCTGAGGTGTTGTAGGGAAATGTCAGGTTCAGGAGGGTAGGCTCTCCACATGCTCTGAATGCCGCCCTTCTGATCCTGAGTTTCCCTGACCTGTTATATCAACATCTTTAGTTTGGTCCTCAGAACCTCATGAACCAGGAAAATCAAACCCAGACGTGGGTGAGCGAGTTCATCCTGCTGGGGCTGTCCCCTGACCGGGGAGCTCAGGTCTCCCTCTTTGTCTTGTTCTTAACCATGTACTTGGTGACTGTTGTGGGCAATGTTCTCATTCTTCTTCTGATCAGACTGGACAGCAGGCTTCACACCCCCATGTACTTCTTCCTTACCGTTTTATCTTTTGTGGACCTTTGTTATGCAAACAGCATCATCCCACAGATGCTTGTTCACTTCCTGTCAGCCCGGAAGTCCATCCCGTTCCCCGGCTGCGTGCTCCAGCTCTGGGTGTCCCTGGCCATGGGCAGCTCCGAGTTCTTCCTGCTGGGGGCCATGGCCTACGACCGCTACGTGGCAGTGTGCCACCCCCTGCACTACACAGTCATCATGCACGGAGGGCTGTGCCTGGGGCTGGCTGCTGGCTGCATGGTAGCCGGCTTCATGAATTCCCTGATGGAAACTATCATCACCTTTCGGCTTCCCCTGTGTCACAATATCATTAACCATTTTGCCTGTGAGACCCTAGCTGTGCTGAGGCTGGCCTGTGGGGACATCTCATTCAATATGGTCATGGTGGCCATCTCAGGGTTTCTGGTGATCATGCTTCCCTGTTCCCTGGTCCTGTTCTCCTATGGTCGTATAGTGGCTGCCATTCTGCGTATTCGCTCTGCTCAGGGACGTAGCAAAGCCTTTGGCACCTGTGCCTCCCACCTCACTGTGGTGACCATGTGCTTCGGGGCGACCATCTTCACCTACCTGGGGCCACGGTCGGCCTCCTCAGTGGAGGAGGAGAAGATGGTCGCTCTGTTTTACGCTGTGGTGGCACCTATGCTGAACCCCTTGATCTACAGCTTGAGAAATAAGGACGTTATGGCTGCTTTCCAAAAAGTCTTAAGTGAACTTCAGAGATAAAAGATAAAGACTGTAAGAACTCTTATTATCTATCATCAAAACAAGAAGGAGATCAGATTAATGTGGATGGGATGCCCACATTCACACTGAAGAAGACTATTATGGGCAAATCCTTGCATTCGAATGAAGGGTCCCTCCATCTGATTAATGGGTTTCCATACCTAGGCCAATGCCAGATAGTTTATGTCTGTGAGCCAGGAGAGTGCCTCATCTTAGATCATATTGTCTCAGATATCCCGTGTAATCTACACTTCATCTGACCATTTTTGGTTTTACTCGCATATCAACATCTGAACGAATGATCTAGGGCTTCATCAAGCAGATCTGGTTCATGGAATAAGTAGACAGATGTATTACACAAACTAGGTCTCCTTCTACCTTTTGCGGTAGAACCGATAATATCTGTCCCTCTTCCACTTGACAATACTCCAGTTATTTGTAGAACAACCTAATTTCTCCACAATAATCAGAAGTAGTTTCTCCAACTCTTTCTTAAGTGACAGCAATTTTTTAACTTCCAATACCATTTGTGTCTTAATTTAGAATGTGATGTCAATCCTGAAATAAGTAATATATGAGCACAATATTTGTTCAGACCAGCATATTGGATCTCATTTTCTTTTCAAGAAGCAGTTTTGCTTTCAATATGCAAAGTATCTGTGGCTTTACTACAGTCTTTTTTGTTGTGGTAAAATATATATAACATAAAAGTTGTCACATTAGCCATCTTTTAAGTGTACAATCCAGTAGCATTAATTGCATTTAAAAGTATAATGCAAACATCACCATATCTATTTTAAAAATTATTCATGGTCATAGTCTTTTATTTAACTAATTTTCCAAGATCTATGTCCTATAAACTTGTTACAAAGTCTCCACACCCACTGCAGTCTTCTTTTTAATTTAAAAGTAGGCATGTATTTTTGCTCTGCTAATTGTTGTTATTGATTTTCACATATCAAACCAACTTGCCAAGACTATTTTGAATTTTGATTCTCCAATTCCATTAATTTATATTCTCTCTGTTCTATAAATATAATAAGCATAAAAGTTTATAAGAAGAAATAACAAATAGTACATGTCAGTTATACATCACTGCAAAGATACTGTTAGGTAGCAAAAATGATATTATATAATTGAAATTATATAATTTCTGATATTATATAATTGAAAAACTACAGTATGTAGTCTTTTCAGATTGGCTTCTTTGCCTTAGTAATATGCATTTAAGTTTCCTACATGTCTTTTCATGACTTAATATTTCATTTCTTTTTGGAACTGAATAATTTTCCATTACCTGTATGTACTCCAGTTTATCCATCCACCTCCTGAAGGACACCTTGTTTGTTTTTAAGTTTTGGTAATTATGAATAAAGCTGCTAGGTTTTGTATAGACATATTTTCAATTTCTTTGGGTAAATACCAAGACACATAATTGTTGGGTCATATGGTAAATGTATATTTAGTTTTGTAAAAACCACTGAACTGCCTTCCAAAGTGTCTGTACCATTTAGCATTCCCACCATCAATGAATGAGAGTTTCTATTGCTCCATATTTCACCAGCAATTGGTGTTGTCAGTGTTGCGGATTTTGGCCATTCTAACAAGTGCGTAGTAGTATTTCACTGTTGTTTTAATTTACATTTCTTGATGATATATGATGCGAAGCATCTTTTCATATGTTTACTCATCATCTGTAAATCTCTGGTGAGGTGTTTCTGAAGGTATAGAGCCATTTATAAATCAGGTTGTTTGTTTTCTTATTGTCAAATTTTAAGAGCTCTTTGTATATTTTGGATAATAGTTATTTATTATATGGGTCTTTTACAAAAATTTTCTTCTACTGTGTGGCTTGTCCTTCCATTCTCTTGACATCATTCACTTTTAAATGGTGACAGAGATACACATGCAAGAACTCAGTAAAATTATCACCCATTTATCCTTTAAAAAACTATAACAATTATAACAAAAAATGTGAAAACAACTTCAGGCAACAAAAAAAAAATGGCTTAAAGGACTGGGGGCATGAAAATTAAGTTGTGATAGGACAGGCAACAAGCTAAAACCTTCTAAGTATAAAATGAAGCTTTAAAAGCTATAAATTTTTATGTGTTGAAAGTGAGAAATCAAAGCCAGAGTGATAAGTACAAAATAAAGGTGCCGTCCCTACGGGACATGAGGACTTGGATAGGGTCCGGTCGAGTAAGTGGGTTTATTAAGATCCAATGAATCACCTCCCCTTAAGAGACTCCCCGGAGTTTTGTCACGCCTTGCAGCTCCATTGATGTGAGCCCGGGCAGGAAGTCCACACTGCACAGGTTGTCCTCCATCACCGGGACTTTTATCTCAATTTGGCCTAATGCTCACTTCCTGTGATGCCGCAATCATTCTTAATGGCCACCTGAAACACGTGCTCTGTGTTCAGCAAAAGGCTGTCTGCTCTGAGTGTCTTCCTTGGATGCAGCCTCCTCCTTCCTGTCCTGCCAGAACCTGGCTGCTCACTGAGGACAATGATTCCCCTCCGCCCTCTCCAACACAGACCCTTAGCCTCCCGCCTCCTGTCTGTCCTCCTACACCGGGTGGGAAGGGGAAGAGCACATCTCTCCGGTCCTCTGCTCCTTCCAGGCCATCGCTCTTTACTTCTCTCTGAATGACTCCAGCTCCTTTGCTGCGTACGCCATCACACTACAGCTCCATCTCCCCCTCTTTTTTTCATCACCTACCATCCATCCTCTTCATTTTATTGGGTGAGCCGAAAAGGCCATTTAGTTTTTTTTCCTATAAAATAAAGACATATTTTTCATTTTCACCAATAGCTTGAATGATTTGGATGTTTTGAGTACTTGGGCTGTCTCCTGCTAGTGGCTCCTAGTGGGTAGAGGCCGGGGTGCTGCTATACATCTTCCAATGCATAAGACAGCCCCACAGCAAAGAATTATTTGGCCAAAATATCAGCCTTACCAAGAAACTTCACAACCACTTTTGACACATTCGATCAGTCACAGTACCTTCTCTATACACTGTACAAATCTTTTTTTGCATTTCTGTCGTGTTGTTACCTTTTTTGGAATAATACAGCATAATATGTTGAAAATCTGTATTCTCTTCCATTTTCAAAATTAAAATGGCTGCACAAAAATTCACAAATTTTGATGTTTTTTAAAAAATTTATTTTTTTAAAAGTTTATCAAAGATTTTATTTATTTTTAGAGAGGGGAAGGGGGGGAGAAAGAGAGGGAGCAAAACATCAGTGTGTGGTTGCCCCTTGCATGCCCCCTACTGGGGACCTGGCCAGGAACCCAGGCATGTGCCCTGACTGGGAATCCAACCGGCAACCCTTTGGTTTGCAGGCCGGCACTCAATCCACTGAGCCACACCAGCCAGGACTGGTAAGTTTTTTTAAATTCACGCCAATACAACAGTTGTCACAATACAAGGAAATTCTTTCAAGTGAAGTTAAAGACAACTAAGTGTTACTAGAGTCATTTTATGAAAAAACAAAAACAAAACAACAGATGAAATTTTTGGACAACTGAATACACTGGTAAAACTAATTCTGTGATCACATGTGGAAATTCCTACATCTGTGCAGATCCATTTGGCATCCTGGCCTCTCCGTTGGTTGACTTACTATCTCCCTCCAATGTGTGGACCTCTAACCCACTCTTGGTTACCCATTTCTGTGATTATACCCTAGACCTTTCTATTGCTAATCACTGTACTGTCTCTAATATCTTCATAGTTTCCCATTCTGACCACTTGCTCTGATTCCTCTCTTTCCAGTTAACCCCATATAGTATAACTCCAGCAAATTTTGACCTCACGATCACCTCTATGACATTAACCCTAGCACACGTTTCTCGTCCATTCCCAGTGCCCCCACCCCTGGTCTTGCTGCCCGTCTTTCCAGTGCAGGTTCCATACAGACTTGTATGATCACCCCTTCCGTGTGCTCTGTGTCATCGCACAGATGCTGCGTCTGCTATTAGCTCTCCTCCCCTACAGCCAGAAGCGGGTTTGCCATCAAGCCAATGAACTGAAGCTTCAGGGCCCCTTACTTGTCCAACCGGTGACTAAATAACAAACTGCGACAACATTCTACTCTGCAATAAAAATAAATAAATTTCCCCTTCATGATTGAAAATTCTGGACGTAACACAAAAACAGACAAAAAATGAAAATAAAAAAAAAAAGGCTGACAACTCAGGGACCCCAGGACCTAAGGGACAACATGACAATGAGTTCCCAGGGCTTCCTGACTCCCTTCCATGTATCCTGAACAGAGATCTGAAAAATTTTCCAACCTAGAACTGCCAACAGGCATAGACAAAAATTGCTCCAAGAAAAGCCTATACAGATGAATTCTAGGATGAGATGGTGCCAGTGTATAATGGACTATAGCCAGTTTGTATCTGCTGACCATCACCAACCTATCTGGGATTATTTGTATGAAATTGGGACTCCAACCATCTTGCATAAAGGATCACAGTCATAGTACCTCACAGAGCCCTCTGACAATGGCTGGGCCTGCCGGGCTTCGGAGTAGTGTGCTCATCCTGTCTCCCTCCCTCTTGCCAGCACAGAGGTGACCACACGTGGTTAGTGCAACTTTCCTTCGGTGGACACTGTCATTTCCATTTCTGCCAGTGACCACCACATCACAATATATTTAAGACCCATGTTGGAAAATTGTGGATATTAAATTATACATCTTAGAGGATGTCAGAGTTTTTCCAGGAATTTGAGATAAATTGAGGCTGGAGTTTTGGAAGAATTGCCTTAGTTTTATTTGCTGCAATTTGGTTTTCATACTTGAGTCTACAAGAGAAACTATATTAAAGGCTGCTTATGCCATTAACAAGCATGGCAGATTGAATTGTTTATGACTATGGCTTGTGACTGTTATATCTCCATTTCCCGTCATGAAACCATAGGGAATGTAATAGCTTTTCTTCCTGTGAGGGTGGCTTTACAGTTCAGCAGGTTACAGAGAGGAGGTGTTTAGTAAACTAGAGGTTTACCCCAGAACATGAAATAGTTGTCAGACAGCTCCCAAAGACAGTTGACAAAGTCATGCTAATGTCCTTACATGATAAGTTTATTTAGCACACAGCTATGGCCCAAGTGGTTATAACAAAACCTTTAATTCAAAATTTATTAAAGGGTAGCAATATAAGTCTACTCTGGGTGTTAGTATTTCCCTTAGAGCACTGACAGGTCCTGGAATAATAATTGGCAATCTGCAAATAGATTTAAAAGTAGTAACTTTTTTCTGTTCATGTTTCAATGAAAAATAAATTCAAAAGTGATTCTTATCAAAGAGTGTGGCTACAAGTAGGTTTTCCTCTATGGAACTAACATTACATAAAACAAGTAAGGCTGTCGCCACAGGCCCATGAAATGGTTCGTGGCTCCCACAGAGACCTCAACTGCCACCATCAAGGTTCTTTTCTCTTGGGTCCCTGCAGAGCGTAGGGAAAGTCTTGATACCATATAAAGCCCTCAGAATCCAGAGATCTGCACAGCTTGAGGGGCCTAAGACCACACGGCAGCTTCCCCAGGACGGCGATGGGTGCTCTGGCCCCCGAGTGCCCAGAGAGCCAGCCGGGGGCCACGCCAGGCCTCAGTGGGGCCCTTGAGCCTTGGGCTCCCCGCTCAGTCAGTCCTGGCTGCCTGCTGGGCAGCAGCTGGGTAATCAGTGCCCATTCGCTCCTAGGTTTCGAGAGTGGGTTCCTCATATCTGTTCAATACCTGAACCTTTCTTTTCTACTTCTTCCTATTTTAGAATCAGTGAAGAATTGCTTCTCAGATCCTACCCCGCCAGAGGCTGCTGAGCCGAGGTACGTGGCCCCTCCCAGAGCATTTCTTTCTGATTATGCAGGCAGCTCTGTGCCACTTCAGCGGCATTTAAATCCTAAGTATTTAATCTTATTGCCACATGCCTTTCTTCTACCCAACCTCAGTTCCCAGCAATCAACTGGTAGTCTCATTTTTTGAGCATTTATTGTAGCTGAGTATGCAGTGAGCTGAGGGAACAGACTCCCCTGCTACCCTGCAGGGGCCTCTCTTGGTTGTGGGTCAGAAATAAGTGCCCCAGATTCTGATCCCCACCGGCAGCTCTTCCCACACCCTCTGGCACCCTGTCCCGTAGGCTGCTGTGCCAGGCTGGTAAATCATCTGTGATTGTGGGTACAAAAGCTGCTGCTGTCTTGGCAGGGACAAAGGTATTATTTTCCTCAAATTTAAATTACTCAAAACCTGCGCTTGTGCACAATCCAGCCAAAATTAAAGGACGGTGCATACACACCAGGCATGAGGATGGAGAAAAGGAAATAAGACATTTAATTCTGGATCAATGGTAAAAATCTGCTCTGAGAGGAAACAAGTTCAAGTACACTGTAATGGACTAGAAACTATTATGAGTGGAAAGGTCTACAGATTTTATGGTAAAATAATGCACTGATAATAAATATGGTCAATTCCTACTGTTAGTATGCAATAATTAGTGCCTGGGCATTCTTCATTTTGTTGATGAGGATGAGGTAAATTTTATGTTATTAAGCTTCCTTTAGGAGTGCAAAGCTCCTGGTGTAATTTCTGAACAGACACATCTACATGTGTTTCTTGAAACAACATTGTTTGCATGTATCTTTAAGAGTCTGCCCTGAGAGTCTCTCCATCTCTCAGTCTCTGGTTTGGCAGTTGTGACCCATCCAGGTCCATCTCCAACATCAAAAGCCAGGGTGAAATATGAGGATGTTAAAAGTCCTCTGTAAAATGTTCAGGTGTCACTGATTGTCTATACTATAGAATAATTCTTATGGGTCTTAATATTGCAAACAAAAGTCTCCATGACGTAGCCAGTAGCACAAAAGTGTGTCTCTCTCCCTTTCTCTCTCTTATTCTGTCTCTCTCTTCCTCTGTCCTTCACTCTTTCCTTCATTCATACTTCGCCCACTCACACAGCAACCAGGCCATACTGAGTTGCTTCCTGAAAGTGCCAGGCTGTTTCACACCTCCGTTCATGTGCCTACAGTGTCTTGTCCTCCTTATATTTCAAGACTCAGTGAAATGATTATCTTGCCTCTGATACATTTACCAAGCATTTCTCTATGTTCATTTCTGTTTTGCTCATCTGACTGACTATGTATCTATGTCACATATATTGGGTTGGCCAAAAAGTTCTTTTTGTTTTTTCCGTACAATGCTCTATCAGTGCTTAGTTGTCTTTAACTTCATTTGAAACAAATTTGTTAGATTGTATTGTGACAGCTGTCATATCCGTGTGCACTTAAAAAAAAACATCAAAATTGGTGAATTTTTGTGATGCCATTTTAATATTGAAGATGGAAGGAGTTATGCAACATTTTCAGTGTATTATGCTGTATTATTTCAAAAAAGGTAAAAATGCAACTGAAATGCAAAAAAAAAAAATTTGCGGAGTATATGGGGAGGGTGCTGTGACTGATGGAATATGTCAAAAGTAGTTTGTGAAGTTGCTTGGTAAAATTGATGTTTTGGCCAAATAATTCTTCCTGTGGGGCTGTCGTATGCTTTGAAAGATGTTTAGCAGCACCCTGGCCTCTCCCACTAGAAGCCACTAGTGGGAGATAGCCAACATCCTCAAAATATGCAAATCCATAAAGCTATTGGTGAGAATGAAAAGTGTGTCTTTTATTTTACAGAAAACTCTAAGTGGATTTTTTGGCCAGCCCTGTGTGTGTGTGTGTGTGTGTGTGTGTGTGTGTGTGTGTGTGCGTGCGCGCGCGCGCATGCGTGTATGTGCGTAAATAAATAAATAAATTTGGGCTTATCTATAATAGCATATGCCTATGATGAAATTTCAGTAGGAATAGAAAATATTTCCTAAAATAGTCAAAAATTTTAAATGTATAAGAGGGGTGGTGAGCCCCAAGTCTGGCACCTCTCATGTCTCACCGGTAGTTAAGGGCGTGCTTGCACAGACAGATCTCGGCTTTGCTGTAACTCTGATCTGGTCACTCCCTCACTTAGAACTGTAATCTAAACCCCAGCGTCTTCTTCTGTGAAATCGGGGCAACATACTGCATTAGTAGTGTTTTGTGGATTTAATGGGATATCATGTGAAAGGTACTTAGCAAACTTCCCAGCACCAAGTAAGTAATCAATATGTTAATGTTAGAGAATTTTCTGGACTGGTCGCTTAGGCTTCATGTTAAAACTAATCAAACTGTAACCCTACCAAATTTTTGCCCTTTGCCATGTCCTCAGCTATGAGGAAAATGCCTGGAAACCTCCCAAATTTTCTCCATCTTAGTACATGGCATTGCATCTATGTCATAAGTACATATATGAGGTTCCTGTTTGATATCTCTTTCTCCTTTATCCCCATGTTCCATCCACAGATTACTGCTAGAGATCTTCTAAGACATATCTTAAGTCCACCCACTTCTCTGAAACCATGGCAGTGGTGAAGGTTACTGTCACCTTCTCTGATTAGCCTCCAGCCCGTCTCATGATGTCCCACCCTTGCTTCCATGGAGTCCTTTGCGGTGACAGTGCTGTCTCTCTAGAGCACGTAGCATATTGTGTCCCTATTCAGCTTTCATCCTTCACCTGCTCCTCATTGTGTGAAAACACTTTCAGGTCCCTCGTTACGACCCAGGGGGCCGTGCTCATGCTGGTGGGGACCTGTCAAACTGTGCCTCCCAGCCCAGCCCAGCCCAGCCCAGCCCAGCCCAGCGGCAGGGCCTGCCCCCAGCACAGCTCTTCCAAGGGCCAGGAACCTGGCATCCTTCCTGGCCCTATGTCACCACCTCATTGTCCGAGGCCTTCCCCGATCACACTAGTATCATTTTCTGTTTCTCAACCTTCATAGAAAATGTCTCAAATGTCATTATGATATTTTTATCTTTGTTTGCTTATTTTAAAAAAAATCTCCACCCAGGGACTCTCGCCCCACCCACCAGGACTGAAAGCTTCCTGAGAGGAAGCCCTATTTCTCTTGCTCACGGCTCGCTGGGCTCACAGTGTTTACTCTCCTCCTGCTCACTGGCCCCAGTCTACCTGCTTAGTGCCTGTGTCAGGGTAAGAGTCCCTTTCACCCTGATCGTTCTTTATAGCTCATACCATATAAAATTGTATTTGCATTATTTCACTTGGGGCTTGATCCACAATGACATAGTGGATACTAATACTCCCATTTACAGAAGAGGAAATGGGGTTTCAGAGAGGATATGTTTCAAGGTCACACAGGGCAGGGCAAAAGTAGGTTTACAGTTGTGAGCACACAAAACGGTTTATTCTTGTATGATTGTTTATTAATTATTGTATCATTTCCCCTACAAAGAGCTGTAAACATAATTTGCCCCACCCTGTGTACCAGGGAAGGGTAGCATGGTCCAGATCTTCCATGCACACCTCGCAGACAATGAGAGCTGCATCCTCCTCCATGGACGCAGAGGAAGAGGAAGGGCCAGTGGGTGAGGGATAATTGGTTTTAAGGAAGAACGTACAGAGCTCTGGGTAGATGGCAGGCAAGGAGACCCAGGCATGTTCTTTGGGAACATGCACATGGAGGTCTGATACTGTTTCATTGGGCGCGATTGTGAAGGACAACGTAGGACATTAGGCAGAACACGGGCTTTTCACTTAGGTGTGAGTGTGATTCCTGCCCTGCTACCAGTGGGGACTCGGTAAGTTACTTCATATGTATGGCTCCAAGACCCAGTGCCTTCATCACTGAAGTGGGTATAATAACACCTGTAAAGAGGCTGGCTATGTGAGAATTAAATTGCATTATGTACATAATGCACCCAGTGTATGGTCTAGCTTACATTTTCGCTAAATTTTCAATCTTGGCCAGTCAGAGAAGGCAAAGGATGGAAGGCTCTAACTGGACCATGGCGTCTGACTGAGTGATTTCTCCCCCACAGAGCTAAGCCCTGTGTCTCCAATATGAAAGTGGAGAACCAGACACGGGTCACCCAGTTTATTCTGGTGGGGTTCCCAGGGACCTGGGGCATGCGTGCGGCCATGTTCCTGATGTTCCTAGCGGCCTATATTTTGACAGTGGCTGAAAACACCATCATCATCCTGCTGGTGCAGCAGAACCGGCCACTGCACAAGCCAATGTACTTCTTTCTGGCCAACCTGTCCTTCCTGGAGACCTGGTACATCTCCGTGACTGTGCCCAAGCTGCTGTTTAGTTTTTGGTCCGTGCGCAACAGCATCTCCTTCACACACTGTATGATACAGCTTTACTTCTTCATTGCGCTCATGTGCACAGAGTGTGTGCTCCTGGCTGCCATGGCCTATGACCGTTACGTGGCCATCTGCCACCCACTGCACTACCCCACCACCATGAGCCATGGGCTCTGCTTCCGCCTGGCTCTCGCTTCCTGGGCCATAGGCTTTGGCATCTCCTTGGCTAAGATCTACTTCATCTCTCGCCTCAACTTCTGTGGCCCCAACGTCATCAATCACTTCTTCTGTGACATCTCTCCAGTGCTTAACCTCTCCTGCACTGATATGTCCCTGGCTGAGTTGGTGGACTTCGTCCTGGCGCTGGTCATCTTCCTCTTCCCCCTGTCTATCACTGTCCTGTCTTATGCATGCATTCTGGCCACCGTTCTCCGCATGCCTACGGGAAAGCAGAAAGCCTTCTCCACGTGCGCCTCCCACCTCGTGGTGGTCACTGTCTTCTATTCGGCCACAATTTTCATGTATGCCCGGCCCCGAGCCATCCATGCCTTCAACATGAACAAAGTTATTTCCATCTTCTATGCCATCGTCACCCCTGCTCTCAACCCTTTCATTTATTGCCTAAGGAACCGAGAGGTCAAGGAGGCTCTGAAGAAACTAATTTGCTGCCCGGCCGTCTGATCTGACTCGCCTCTTACAAATGATTAGAAGGAGAGACGGGGTTTGGTTTGCTGCCTACCCTTCTATCTCCCATCCTTTCTCCTTTAATGCTTCAGTTGGGCAGCTGGGCAGGGCTCCTATGAACGGGGCATCACACATCGACATCAACCACCGGTTCTTCTTGTCTCCTGACATCTGCCGTCGTGCATGTGGGCGGTGCTCCATGGGAATGGCCCTTGTGTAGAGAATTCTCTTTGGCTGGGACCCAAAAATGAGGTTTCCAGACTGTGAGTAAATACTAACTGAGTTAGGCAGGGAGAGAGATGGCAGCCTATGGTTTAGCTCTTTTGGGATTTAGCAGGCACTATGGGCTCCAAGACCCGCAGATTTGTACTGGCTTCCCGCACTCCCAGCCTCCTGCCTGAGACAGAGGGAGCAGCTTCGCAACAATTCCATTCTGGACAGTGAGCTGGGAGTCAGCCTCGGTGGCAGAGAGTGCAGGCTCTTCCGCTGGGCCTCCCACCACATTTTATTAGCACCTGGTTCCCCGTATTAAATAGCTTCCTGCTTCCAATGGCAATGGTGCTTTCTGTTATCTGTCTGTGACGTGTACCTTATACAATTGCATCCTGTCTTCTGACATAACTTACATAGTCATTTGTATTGGCTTTCACCTTCCCCTTGTAGATGTCACAATAGGTTTGTTTGTATCCTCTAGTGGATGAGCACAAAATAGATGACAAATAAAATCATCAAATGCACTGTTTGCTGAATGAAATTTGCCCTCCTCAGTCGCCTTTTCTTCTGACCTTGGTGTTCTCGTTCCTTGTCAGTTTTCTTTTCCTTCCCTGACTTTTCCTCTCACCACACATGCCACACGCAAGCAATGAGGTTGTTTTCAGATTTGACAGATTTTCTTTCTATGCCACAGTGACTCTCGATTCTCCTACTTGTGTATCTGACACTCTACCTGTGTACACTAGTCCCTCCTGCTCAAATGTGCCCACACACTCATGGGAGGGTACACAGATATGCTCATTCTCTCCCAGCTCATAGTTTTGCCAATGGCCCAGGGTGCTGTGCTTTACACTGTATCCCATATAACATGGCACTGTTGGTAGGATTTTAAATCTCTCATTAAAAGAGTTTAAAATAGGATGGTGTTTGGCATTTGCAATTTTTTTTTCTAAGAACAAATAATACTTTCAAGAATATTTTCTCTTTCTTTTGAAGTATGAAGCATGAAGCATTAGATGGGATTTTTTGCTACATTTTACAAACTTCTGGAACAGAAGCTCAAGGAAGTCCATGATGTTCAGTCACAGACAGTGGGTAGGGGTCTCAGAAGCCCAGGTCTCCTGATCCTCAGCCCCAGGTCCTCTCTTAGCTCAAGGATCTCCTTAGAGAGCAAACATGCTTCTACTGCAAGCTAAGTGTGGAAACTAATTGTTCGAGCACTGTGGTTGGAAGCTTCCGTCACTGTATCTGGAGAACTGTTGATAAAATAAACATGGACAAATGTGAAGCACAGTCCTCAGGAAAGAAAAGAAACAAAGGTGAAATGCAAGCCTGCCTTACTTTAGAGAGTAGATATTAAAAAAGGTTATGAATATATTGCCATTTAAAACCCACACATATAAAGAAAAGTGATTACTTTCCGAGGCAATTAATATGAATCAAAACAATGGTGAAGTCATATAGATCTATGAAACGTGCATGGAAAGCAGGCAAAGACACCTTCGGCAGGAATAAGGCCTCAAAACAACCAATTGGCTGTCGACAACCTGAGTTGTAGTCCCAGATATATTTTTATCACGTAGCCTAGGACAAATCATCTCAACATGCCGAAACACTGATTCTTCTTAAGCAAAATAGTAATAATAATGCGTGTTCTGCCTTCCTTACACAATGGCTATATGGGCCAACTGACATGATGCAAAGTACCTTGATTGTCCAAGACCCAGGTCAGTGCAAGGTCAAAGCAGGTTGACACTCAGCTTGCGTGGGGAAGCCAGCTGGGAAGGTGCCCAGGTCTGTCTGCAAGCAGCCCGCACTGATGAGCTCCACACCGGAAACCTGGGAGACTCCACATGTAAGGGCTGTTTGTCTCTTGATTATTTCCCATAAGCATCTGGGTGACGGAGTGTGTGAAAGTACTACTTCTCCATAAATTATGCTAAGTTGTGTTTCAGAGAGCAGATGGGAATCAGTAGTGTCACCTTGACCTCTTTGTGAGGGGAATACCTACACACGCGGGCTGAGCCAGGCAGAGGGCACAGGTCAGACCCGTGTGGGGATCCGCAAAGAGAGGCAGGGCAGCAGCGTGGCGGGCACATGCACGTGGGAGAGAGCTTCTTGCAAGGGGAGGTGCACAGAGCTGGTCAGAAGTTTCGAGCCAGCCTTCTTGGGGTTAGGTAACCGTGATATAGGCTCTGGTAGTCAGTTTTAACAGATTGTCCAGAGATTAAACCTTCAGAATTTAGTTATCAGCAAACTCAAAGAAGTCAATACAATAAAGACATGTGAATTATACATATAGTATGTTTTTTTGAGTGACCATATTAACCAATGCATTCAGCTAATATTTACTGAGTATATGGTACGTTAGGCAACATTTTAAGTAGTTGGGACACAATAACACAACACAAAAACTTATCACACTCATAGGCAGGAACAGATATAGAATATATCTGTGCCTGCATAATAAATACGTACATACATGCCTAATGGGGTGGGTTGAGTGGTGGCTCCCGAAAGGCTTTGTCACGGCCTCCACTGGGAGCTTGTGGTTGTGAGCTTATTTGAAATGGGATTAAGTTAAGGATCTTCAAATGAGACCATCTTGGATTATCTGGGTGGGCACTTTCTGGGTCTGATGATAAGTTCCTTCAAAATGAGAGAAGGGGGCATTGGGAAGACATTCAAACTTTGCAGCCTAGTTAGAGAAGTTGAACCAAAGTTGATATGGCTTACTGGGCTGTGAGAAGTTCACCAGGCGTGTATCAAACTCAGTTATCTTATTTTGGTACTCCTTTCCTGGCGGGCTGTATAGATTTCTATTCATGAGTGCTGGTGGAACAATCTCTTCCGTTTTCCTGCTGTTTCTCTTACGAGCAGGTTAGATAAATATTAGCACACGTTCACCCTTTATTTGTCAGAGATTAGACGGGCGCAGTGGGCGGGGTGGGGCCGGTGCGGGGAAGCAGGATGGTCAAGGCCTGTCACTGCGGAGCGCTTACTAACAGCGCCTGGCCGGGCCTACAACGGGCAGCAGGTCACACAGGGCCTGGGTGAGAGGAGGCAGCTGGCCGTGACCATGTAGTGACTGAAAAGCCCAGGCTCTGGGGCTGGGTACATGGGGCCAAGTTTAATCTTCCTGTGCCTCAGTTTCCTTGTACATAAAATGAGGCTACTAAGTGCACCTACCCCACTGCATTGTTTTGAAGATTAAATAAGTAAATACAGATAAACTTCTTACATTATTGCTTGGAATAGATTAAGTGTTTGTTAAAGCCTATTTTATTTTACTTAGGGCAATTATTTTGAAAGCAGAAGAAATACTGGGCATAGAATCTTATGGTGAGAACTAGAGTAGCGTGTCCATGAAGCAGGCTGATAGTGCTGGAAGACCAGCAAAACTTGCAGTGTAAGAACTCCAATACAAACATTTATACTCAGGAAACGTGTACACGTGGAAGTGACTAATGGGATACTCATCGTGATGTTGCTTAGAACAATTGAAAAAATAAAACTCTGGCATTTAAAAAATAAAAGAGTTGGATGGATTAAAATGCGGCATGTCCATGTGAAAGAAAACGTGGTAGCTAAAAAGAAAAAGACATGGGCAATGGCTCATAAGATATTACTGAGAAGAAAAAGTGGTTTACTAATAAGTAATTCCAAAAATGATATGCAGTGTGAGCCCATAAAAATACATGCATGGATAGCACCGGTGTGCTTCCATGAAAGAAGAAAGAGGAAGGAAGCACTGGTAAGTCCAGAGGTGCAGAGGAGAGAGTAGGTGGGTCAAATATCAATCAAGCGAAGGTTTAATAAGCCAACAGAGTTGGAGAGAACGGAGGCACATTACTCCTGAACCTGCTGGCTCTCATATTTTACTGAGGATTTTGCATCAAGGCAAAATAACCCTGAGTAGTTGGATATATACAGAACGATGTTCTTTTTTTTCCCTTTAGTTCACTGTCAGATTCTCCTGAGGTACAGAAACGTCTATGTGGGTTGTCCCAATTATTACCCCACAAGTGCATATGTAGGGGAGACACGCTCCACCGAAATCTGAAATTTAGGCAGTTTCAGACTCCTGATGTACGAAGGAGCGTGCCAGCGCTGGCTGGGATTTGTTTGATGTGAAAAATCATGCAGCACGGAAAGGCAAGGCAAAGCTTCTGGATCAGAGCAACGTCATCAACCTGGCCTTTTGCTGTGAAGGTTGTCATGGAAACGGCAGGGCTCAGCACCCAGAGCCAGCCAAAGCACCTGTTATAACGCCACATAAAACGTTTAACATTCGGAGCATTTTGCGTATGTTTAGACTGAGACTTGGTGTGCTGTGAACGTGTGGTCAATAAGAATTGACTAAGAAAAAAATGGGCAGGTGGAGACAGAAATTTAAGAAACGTTTGTCTAGGAGTGGACGGATTACATGTTTTCGGTAACTCTGCCTTCTTCCCCTGTCCTCCAGCTCCTTTTTCACTTCATATTTGCCGTCTAATAAATGTTGTATTGCTGTCTCTAAGATAAAGTGATTCCTCCCTAAATTAAAATGCTAACGTGCTCTCATCTACTCATCTTTAAGACATTTTTGTGTTTGTCTCCACCGTCTGCAAAGATGGGCTCTTTCCCTTGGTCATAGGTGATGTGTCCTGCCTCTGCTTCCGCCTCTACTTCCCTCTCTACTTCCCCCTCTGCTTCCCGCTCTGCTTCTGCCTCAGGACCTGCTTCCCCAGGGCAGCACCTGATCCTCTGTCAGCACTCGATGCCCTCCATCTTCTTGTCGGATC